CAGTTTGCCTGTAAAACAAATTGACGACGATCTTGACTTTCTGAAACGGCAATAAAGAAATTGTGAAGACCAAACAAAAAACCATTCATGAACTGGGAGTTTTATGCGGAGCCGCCATGGTAGATGCTGGGAGTAAGCTAGATGCTGAAATACCAGGCAAACATGCAAGGATGAATTTAGGCAATGCAAGTACACCAAAGCGCGGGAATGAACCGTACGTTGCAAGAAAACCAGAAGCGATCTCTGCCTTGGAACTCGAATGAAAGGAAAACGAAGGTGGAAAAAACGAGGGGGACACAAGAACATGCAAGAAGGAAAGGACCGGTAGCCCAGTGCTGAAGAAGCGGTACCAAGCAGCCAACTCACTCGAGGTACTTATGGAGAAGAAGACAATAAAGGGCATCGACTGAACGTAAAGAGGGTTAGTGCAGGAGAAAAGGTGGCAGACGCTGTAGGAAACGCAAATGGGGGTGATGCATGGACCAGAGTGGAGAGAAAGAAAAAGAACCGAAGATACGACATGTGGAGCAATTCTGATCGGCGGAAGAAACGTAAGCCGGATCAAAGCAGCGGCCATGGAACAATTTATTTCCGACCAAAACGTATATTTTATTACAACGACGATTGATGAACTTGATGAGAGTTTAAAGAGCGCGGTCGCAAGAAATAAAGCGAAGGAAGTAGACGTTGTGATCCATATTGGGGCCGACGATGTGCTGATCATAGTGCCGATTATGTTCTGGAAGCATAAACAGCACTGTCAACCGTGCACAGCCATTGACAAATATCAACCGAGTCTTCATTTGCTCGCTGGAAGAGAGAAGGGACGCTGGCATTATGGTTTATGAAACAGCAAAACCCGTCAACAGTGATCTCACCCAGCTGTGTGCTACCCACGGAGTAGGATTCATAGATATGCGGCCAAGACTAATGTCCTGCGTTTTTGGATGCCTGAACAAGACAAGTATCTTTTACACGTTTGAAGGCGCCAGAAACGTATCGCAGCATGTCATTCTGCCAAGTGCCTTGGCTTTTTCTCACTAGGCGATAAGTTGATCTCTGGTTCTGATCAGTTTCATGAGAATTAAATCATTTGATTCCAAGCCTTCGGAAATCTAGGTTTTCTCACAGCCAACGTAATGGACTTGCACAACCACTAAGCAAGTTGAACTTGGCATAATGTCGCACACGTATAATATAGGTGTATAAATAATCACAGGAAACCCATTTAGGCCAGACGGTCCATGATAACCCAAATTTTCCAAGCCGGATATGAAGTGCTACGACGTGACAGAAACTTATTGGCGGTCAACAAAAGTAAGTGTGGAGGAGTCGCCATATGCATGAAAAATAACTTACCATACACGGAGCCTAAAATTGAAGTTCCGGACGAGCTGGAAGTTCGCTGGGAACATCATTCACCTTTGCAACCCGACAGGATCATTATAGCTGGAGTTGACCTCCCTCCTGATGCATCAGCCTGTCGCCGGAAAATGTTATCTTACCACCTTCTGGAAACACTTGATCATCTTCGATCCTCAAGGCCCAGAGCAAGAACTGCCTTGGTAGGAGACCTTAACAGAACTTTGATGCAGAATTGTAAGCGCGTCAACTGGATCCATTGCATATGGTTGCGGGAACTCACAAGAGGTTCAGCCGTTACTGGACAAGATATTGACTGATTTTGATCTCCAAGCGCACCACTCAACCTATTACACCATTGGCACGACAGACACAAAAACTATCGTATGGTTGGCTGCAAAACAAGTAGAATATCTCAAGCTATTGCTTTGTACGGCCTTTGAAGGACTCATCCATCAGAAGTTTTGGCAGATGGATTTGCTGCCAGCATTGGCAAGATATAATAGCAATAAATGATATAGACCAAGCTGCTGCTCGACTAGAACTGCTACTTAAAAATGCTTATGAGGAGCACTTCCCTGAAATTAAATACAAATGCAAGACAAGTGAGCCGCTGTGGATAACAAAGCGCCTCAAAGAACTGATAGGCAAACGCAATAGGGCGTACAGTCGTCATCAAATGGACAGACTACAAAAACTTAGAGCCAAAGTAGGCCTAGAAATTACAGCTGCAAAAACGGCATGGTAGAGGAAACGAATCCAAAGAATTGCTTCTGACCGAAGAGAGTGTTGGTACAGACAAGTAGCCAGCTTAACCAACCGGAAACCAAAACCATGGAGCCTGATCTTGCGGGGACCCAATGACTATAAATCAAAAGCGGAATAGTAAATCGGTTTTTTGGCAGAACTATGCACAACGTATGGACCGCTGCGCACAGAAGAGCTTCCCTGCTATCTGCCTGCTGATAACATTCCTGTTGCGATGCAGCCGTAACAAGTTGCCTTTCAGCTATCGCAGTTTGAGGAGAAAAATATGGCTGTGCCCACTCGACAACTTCCAATGCGGCTACTAAAGGAATTTTCTGTGGAACTGGCCGTACCACCTCCTCATATTTTCAATCGGTCATTGCATGAAGGGTGCGTGCCATCGGTGTGGAGGAGGAGCAACAATCACCCCTGTGTGCCAAAGAGAAAACATCGCCCAAGTTGCCAGGAGATCTGCGCCGCTAAGCCTCACACCAACTTTAGCAAGGTTTTGGGGAAAATTATCTGTTCCGCAAATTCTGGTGGATATAAAAACCAAGCATAGCTAAGCGCCAATACGGAAATATGAAAGGTGCCTCATATCACATTATTTAATTAGGATGTTGCCTGATCTGCTGACGGAGTTAGACGAAGCAGACAAATTATTTGCTATGGTTATGTACGATTTTAAGAAGGGATTTGGCCTGATTGATCACACAACAGTTATCCAGAACACGCTTGCATTGGGATTTAACTCCGGGTATGCAAAGTGGCTATGCTCATTCTTGCAGGGCCGACAACAGCGGGTCAAGTGCCAGATGGAACCATGAGTCGTTGGAGAACCATAACATGCGGCACTCCACAAGGCACCTTAGTTGGCCCGGTTGCTTTCCTGGCTATGGTTAACGGTGCCGCTGCTGATATTGACAACCGACTGAAGTAGGTAGACGACCTTACCATATACCAGGCGTGTCGAATTGACCAAGTAGATCGCCACTGCAAGTTGCAAGACCACACTGACAAGATGAATGATTGGGCAACGGCAAACAAGATAATGCTGAACACTGACAGGTGTCAAGTCATGCACTTTTTCAGAGCCAAAAACCATCAGCACTACCGGACAGCATGATTCAAGGAAAAAGCCTGAGAACTGCCATCAAAACTAGGCTTTTAGGTGCAACAATATCAAATGACATGTCATGGCAAGCACATGTGGATGAGATGTCAACCAAAGCACCGAAAGCTCTATATATGTTATACATACTGAAGAAGCACCATCCATCACAGGAACAGCTTGTTTGCGCGTATGTTACTTACATCTGGCCATTGCTAGAATATTGTGCACCGGTTTTCATGCGGAACTCACCGCCAAGCAGGCGCAATACCTTGAGAAAGTGCAGAAGAAAGCCTTGAAAATCATCTTCAGCCATTCGGAAAAGTACTCGCACATCTTGCAACGCTTGGCATGGAAGCCCTCGCTGACAAAAGAGAGAAGCTATGCCTAAGGCTAGGAAAACAAATGCAGGCGTTCTCCCATGCATAGAGATCTGCTTCCGAAGCAGCGAGTGGCGATCTCCGGAAATACCAGGAGCGCAAGCACACTCCAAACGTTTTGCTGTGGTGTGCGACTACGCAAATCAAGTATTCCCCATATGACCACTCTTATAAACACATATGTTATCAACTAAGTAGCATCCTACTTCATATGTATTGTGCACGTGCTATATAGGTTGATACTCGAAGTCATGCTTTCTTAATAAACCGTCTCTCTCTCTCTCTCTCTCTCTCTCTCTCTCTCTCTCTCTCTCTCTCTCTCTCTCTCTCTCTCTCTCTCTCTCTCTCTCTCTCTCTCTCTCTCTCTCTCTCTACTCTCTCTCTCTCTCTCTCTCTCTCTCTCTCTCTCTCCGACATTTTAACGGCGCCTGTGTAACTTATCATGGCACGATAGCGCTTGCATTTACTGCGGTTATTAACTTAAAGTCGTGCTACTCATGCAGGCAAGTTTGGCTTGGTATCTCACAGGGCACATCCATGCAGTACACCTAGCTGACGAAAAGGCAGTAATGTACAGCAGATACTATTAAAAGATGCTAATATACAGCAGCAGTCGAAAATTCACGGCAAAGGCAACGGTTTTTTTTGTTTAGCCATCCCAGAAGCACAGACACATCTTACAACTCACTGGATAGCCAGATGCTGA